TGTCCATTTATTATGAATTTCCGTGAGAGTAAAATGCAAAAAGGGGTAATAATGTGGGTCACCGACCCTCACTGGGAGCCTGGGGAGCAAAAATAGGGGTAAAGATAACAAAAAAAAATATGCACCATAAATAAAGAGACAAATTGCGAAAATTAAATAAACCAAGAGCAAGAAACTAGTATATATATATATATATATATATATATATATATATATATATATATATATATATATATATATATATATATATATATATATATATATATATATATATATATATATATATATATATATATATATATATTTCATGTAAATCCCAATGGAAACGTGGATAAGATAAATCTTGATAAAATCATACGGAAAATGGAAACAACAGGGTACCTTAGCTTTCGTCTTTATTCAAGACATCTTAAGATGTCTTAAAACTGAATATATATATATATATATATATATATATATATATATATATATATATATATATATATATATATATATATATATTGTGTTGTCAAAGTAAGAGAAATAATTGAGACCCTGCAATTGAGTAAAAATGAGGCAGAAAGTCAGTCAGCTCAGCGATCTGAGAATTTGTCACAATTTTTGAGGCCACATGGCAGCAGGGTCTACCATTAGAAAACACATTATACTTCCAATATCTTTCCATGAGGTAGTACCTCCCTGTTTGATAGATGCCCACTAACTCATGAGCCGATTATAGAGTTATTATGCACTTCTGAGTTGTCTTCCAATGATGAGTCAATTCGTTGCACACTCATGAGCCGACTTTTCTTAATTATCGTCTCCTCTTGCGTCATAACAAGATTTCATACATATGAATCAGTATCAAGACTTATCGTCATCTCACACTTCTGGTACTTCTGTGAATCACCATCTGGCTCTCACGTCCCGCTGTCTACGTCGCCACACTGCCTTGGTGATATACGTAAGTGAAGTGAGTCAATCTGGCCTAGAACCACCCTTAAAGGTGTTCCAAGGCCTCAGAAAATCCCTAAAGTATATCTCACTGGATCAGGACCACCTCGGCAGGTCTTGAGCGATGAACGCCTGGTGAAGTGTACTCAATAACAGCTTTGTTGTTACCTGAGCCTATGAGAGATGGTGTGGTAGATTGGTAGGTCTATTCGTGAGTTCCCTCCGTCCTACATTCATTCATTCTTTTCCTTCATTCTTTCTGTCCTGCCTTCATTTTGCATTCTTAGTGCGGTATTCAAAATTCCTTCTCTCTCTCTCTCTCTCTCTCTCTCTTTCTCTCTCTCTCCTGCACTGATGCATCATGTTTTACTGTGCATCAGAAGTTAAATAGATTTTACAAGTCTCTTCCTCACATAATGATCCCGCAAACCCACACGTAATGTGACGTCATCATTGCACTGAGACATCTGGCACTATGAAGGATGCCTCAGGTGGCCAATAGTAAAACACCGCACGAACAGTAGTAGTGAAGCTATTTCTTTTTTGTCTGTGTATGTCTCCTCGTCTGTCTGTCTGTCTCATTTTAGCTGACATCCTTTGTTTACCTGAAATTAATAAATTATATAATTTATTCGTTTTCTTTCAAATATGTATAATAAAGTTAATTATCAGGGGAGGTGAAGGTGTTATTGGGGGAGAAAAATGACTTGAAAACTTAATAACTTTAATATTATAGAAGCTTGTATTACTAAATATTACCACAGTACGACAACGTGATGAGTGTCAGCACCAGGCTCTGAGGTGCGGACACCAGGCTCTGAGGTGCGGACACCAGGCTCTGAGTGACGACGCCAGGCTCTGAGTGATAGCACCAGGCTCTGAGTGCCGGCATCATGCCCTGATTGACGGCACCAGCTTTTGAGTGACGGTCCCAGTTCAGTGTTCACGTTATCTTCTGCACCAAGTTAAATTCAGGATGCTTCTGTCTCTCTCGCTAATAATACTCTTCTGTTTCCTGTGTTCTTCAGTCTGTGGTTCATTTTTTTTCTTTCCTTTATTTTAATTAACGAGAGATGTTGAGGTGGGCCACTGGGGAACCTTATACACCCCCTTCACTCGCAGGTTCTTGGGATCAAACGGAGGTCGGAGGTGAATCGTGACGTCATGACGCTTCAACATGGCCTCCAGCTGCCAGGTTCCAGTTTTTAGGTACTCGGTAGTTACTTGTCCTCCGTCAAGTCTTTCGACATAGCCATAACAGACAGCTCGACCGAGAGTGAAGGCGTACTCAGCCCGACGGATATGACCCACCAACTCATCGTCCCTCCAGATGCCTTCATGACCCCAGAGAGGTAGTGAGGGGTCATCCAGCGTGAAGGTTACCAGCTTCTTGGAGAAGCCCTTCTTTATCTGAGCCTCCACAGCCTCGCGTCCCAGGAATTTCGTGCTTGAGTTTAGCTTACAAGTGAAGGTGAGTCCTGCCTCTAATGGGGTATCGTCTGGACGGATCTCGTGATTCCAGTGTCTGTAGCCTTTCTCGCAGGACAGAGAGTCGAGAGCAAGGAACCCGGCGTTGGCCACACCCAAGGGCTCCCCGGCAGCCATCACAGCTTTGTACACCGCCAGGGCTGAGGCGCTGGGGACGTGGAGCTCCCAACCTGCCAGGGATATAAACTTTAGTGACCTGAAACACAACACAGATTAACAAAGGAGTTTTAGTATTGATCAAAAAGACATAAAACAGCAATTTTTCCCTCGATATTAAATACTGGTTAAGTAAGAAATAGCACAGAACTGCTTAAGTACAATTAATTCGTTGCCAAAAGACTTCAGAGACTAATGGATCAGAAAAAATATCATACTGTGTACGCTGTTGTCTGTGTTGATGTTGATACATAACGGAAATGAAGTGAACTACTGAAATCCAACAGACGTTATGAATATTTCTGTACCGGCCGACACTCCTTTGACGACACACTTCGTCAGTCACAGGCGGGAGTGTAAGTATCTGAAGTAAAGTTGCAGTGTCTGAGCATGGTGGCGGAATGACACGGTGCTACCTATGTGAGAATGTAATGTTTAAAGAGGCGATGTTACATACTCTTCATGATCACTAGGCTTCAACACACTCTTATACTGTACACTATGTCCTTATATAGTTACCCATTTCTCCAACAAAAGAGATTCTGAGGGCGCGAAGTTTGTGTCCTGCGAGAGTGATGACCTTGTGGGTGGTGTAAGGGAAGGCCTCATTACTCAGGTCCTCGTCCGTGAGGTCCTGCAGGATACATCTGCTCTTGGGACCCTGAACTGATAAAATGGCCAAGTCCTCAGTGTGTTCCAGCAGCTGTATGTCCCACTGGTGGGTCCTCGCCTCCTTCAGGATGTGACTCATGTTATACATCCCCGTGGAGCCTCCCGTCGTGAGGTAGAACCCACGACCTTGAAAAGCTGGATCACAAGCTGTCCCCTCACCGCCTTCACACACGCTCTGGGGTGTTCAAGTGGGCGGTTGAAACAAGTTCTAAAGAAGTTACATAATTAAATACAGCAACAGTATCTCGACTTTAGTTATATTACAAGTACTTTCTTCACCTAAGAGTTCGTTTGTTAGAGTAAACCATAATTTGATTTTTTACATAAAGAGAATACCAATCGATTATAGTCAGTATGAAGCCACACAAAATTTCAATATTGATACCAAAATATCATTATTACCACAATATACTTAAGCTTTTTCTTGTTTCTTAATTTACCCGTTACCAAAAGTGCAAAAGTGCTCTCTATACCCCTTCAAGGTTGATCGCCACCCCATCTCATACAGTCAGAAACCCTAATTTCTAGCCCACCCAAGTCGAGCGGGAGGTGAGGCCTTTATGGACGCCGGTTCAGAGGTTTGGTGAGGTAGCGGCGTGCACACAAACACACAGAGCACAAGACCCTCGAATACGCGTTACCAGACCTTCGAGTCACACCTCCCCTTTGTTTTTAATAAGGATCAAAGTATGGTGTACAATCGGGGTGAAAAGTCTTGAACACTTAGCCAATATCTGGCATCTACTTCTGAGTTATACATATATAATTGAGATATACTAATAATACTACTTGTCACCACATATTATGCCTGAACCACAAAATGGGATAAAACTCTCCTTAATACCTAAGATCTTCGGGAACTTACATGACAAACACTGTCAAGTGTTCAAGACTTGTGACCCCGACTGTACATTTATACTGTTATAATGGACATTATGAGCATCTTAATGCATACAAATTTACTTGACGTGGCCTCCATGAACTTGGATATAAATGAAAACAGTAATGTCATTTGGAAGGATATGAACTGATCTTGCTGATAACATTTTCTGCTTTATTCATCGAGGTCCATCCTGTGTGCACTGGTCTCTGTCTACCTGACTGACTGGCCTACCTGACTGACTGGCCTACCTGACTGACTGGCCTACCTGACTGACTGGCCTACCTGACTGACTGGCCTACCTGACTACTGGCTTGCCTGCCTACCTGACTGTTAGCCTGCCTGCTGGCCTGCCTGCTTACTTGACTGCTGGCCTGCCTGCTTACCTAAGTGTTGGCCTGCCTGCCTGACAACTTCATTATTGACTGTCTGCTTACCTGACTGCTGGCCTGCCTGCCTACCTGACTGCTGATCTGTTTGCCTACCTGAGTGCTGGTCTGCCTGCTTACCTGATTACTGGTCTGCATGCCTACCTGACTGCTGGTCTGCTTGCCTACTTCCCTGCCTGCCTACCTGATACTGGACTCCCTGCCTTCCTACCTACCTACTGGCCTCCCTACCCGCCTACCTGCCTGCTGGCCTGCCTGCCTACCTGGTTACTGGCCAACCTGTCTACTGGCCTGCCTGCCTACCTAACTACTGGTCTACCTGCCTACCTGACTGTTGGCCTTCCTGCCTACTGGCCTGCCTGCCTACTTAACTACTGACCTACCTGCCTACCTGACTGCTGGCCTTCCTGCCTACCCGAATGCTGGCCTGCACATCAATATGTTTATCATCACTGTGACTGCACTGGGAAGTTTAAGCCATAAGTGACACACACACACTGGCCTAGGACGTGTTGGTGAGCTGAACACGTGTTTTGTCTCTTCCCTGACGGTGAATCAGCCAAGTATGATTGGACTTTGATTAATGTGGCTCGAATGATCACGGGGATATTCAAGCCTCTTCGTCAATGCAAGACGCAACGTTTCCCAACGAGCGGACGTGTTAGAGTTGAGAAATATATCATAGAGCGGGTAATTAATTTAAGCTTGACCCCAGATCATGATAGAGAAATCAAGCACTGAATAGGCAAGGAATGAAGTGTTAGTTATATCAAAGTACCTTTAGTAAGAGAAGGCAGGACACAATCTAGTATTATGTAGAATCAGGATATGGTCGTAGCCAGGTCACTAGATCCATAAAAATAATAATAGATTAACCTCTAAAGTGCCAGGGGGAGACCAGAGAAGGAGTAGACAGAAAAGGGTGGAGGGGCGAGATCCGGGGTGAGCTGGAATAGTTTAACACCCAACAGACCAATGGTGAGAGAGACTAATGTCTTAAGTGAACTGGCTCAATCTGCTGAAGTAAACCATTCTTTTTTTTTCTTTTTTGCGGGAAGTAGCCCACCCGGACACAGGTCGAACGACCCACAACGGTGCCTAAGGGGCTAACAAATAAGAATGGAAATAAATTAAAAATTGAAAAAAAAATGTTATATTAATCTACACCATGAAGATGCTGGAAAACCAGCTTTTTGAAGTGAGATATATTGTATGAGTATGGAAACACAGAAGAAGGCAGAACATTCCACACTTTGGCTGTGTGAGGAAAGAAGGATGCACTATAACGGGTTATTCTAGTGTGACCGACATCCGCAGAGAAATGGTGGGCACCGCGGGCAAGACGTGTGTTACGAGCCCACGGCCTTGCCGGCGTTACAGAGGATGCCAAATCCACCGAACATTTCCTGTTAAAGTACCCGTAAGAGAGAGAGAGTGAAGCAACATTGCGACGAAGAGAAAGGGAAGAAAATTTGTCAACTAAAGGAGGAGAGTTAATAAGACGAAATGCCTTTGATTCCACCCTATCTAACAGTTGGACAGAAGAAGAGCCACCCCAGATATGAGAGCAGTACTCCAAGTTAGGACGAATGAATCCCTTATAAACTTGAAGCAACTGCTCAGGAGTGAAGTAGCTACGGCATCTGTACAGCATTCCCAACTTTCGGGAGGCAGCTTTAGCAATTCGTCGTCACCACCCACGTAGTCTTCTAATAGTGTCACATCACCTTGTGTTGTTCACTGGTTATAGTGTTATAAAGCCATCGTAAAGTTCTTCATAACTAATATACTTCTTTTTCCAATTTTAGGTATGAAAGGAAGGCCATCAGGTCGTGTACGGAGTCAGGGAAGGTGATAAGGGAAGTCAGCCGGCGTTTTGGCACAGGATCTTCAGGGAGACAGTTAAGATATGGATAGAACTTCTCAACCGGGATCCCAGAGGGTGAACCGTTACAATATTTCACGGGACAAATGCCCCAAATCCCAGGATATCTCGGTTTTTGCAGAGCATTGATTTTTTTGTTTTGTTTTTTAGAAATATATTTCGGGTCAACTATTTACTCTTTCACACCCGTTAACTCTTCCTGCACATAAACAAGAAAAATACACGTTCACATCACGTCCCGTTAACGAGTTACGTAACCCCTGTCAGTGCAGTGCTGCTGTTTTACATGTTTTTCGTCTGTTAGGCGGATTACTTTGTGGCGGGAAATACAAGGGTGGGGGGTTGCCGTCCGGACTCTGCCATTTTTTTTTTTTTTTTTTTTTTTTTTTAGGTTAAGGTGGGGAAAGGATGGAAGGCATGCTGGGGCTCAAGGCACAGCCAGACATGAGGGATGGAGAAGTCACAACATATAGTCGTGGGGGGAAAGGTTGGAAAAGAAGTTTAATGAGTTAAACAGAGGGGGACGACACCCCTTGTTTTACATATTACAGAGTTTGTTGGCTAACTAAGCTAACCTAGGATTTAGAATGAGGTTGCACAATGGTTATTTTAGTAGACAATGACTAGATTGATTTTACAATTACAAGTTTATTAACATCTTATACTGTATTACGTTATGGACTCACTTGATTGTGACTTGTTAAATGTGAATTTATATCATCTAAGTTTTAATCTAAGGTGGATCACTGTGGCGGACATAGATGGGTCGCGGGTTGGGTTGTTGTAGTGCGGGCAGACTCCGGGGCCACCAGGCGCAGGGTCTCCCTCCGTTGACGTCTTCCCCGCATAGGTGGTCTGGGCTGTGAGGGTCGTCCAGGAGCTTGTCCCAAACCTTCTTCCCTTGGCGATGGAACCTGAAGTTGAGGGCCTCTGTTTTATTTCTTAGGTGGATGGTTTCCACTGTCTCCTGGTAGGGTGGCGCTTGGCCACTGGCTGACCTCAAACACTTGTTTTGGAAGCTCTGTAGTTGTTGTAGTCTAGTCTTCCCGAGTGTGACGAGTGGTATAGATGGGTACTCCAACACAGGCCTCACCAGCGCCTTGTACAGGAGAACTTGTATCTTCTCAGACATCAATTTAAAACGTTTTAATTTGGCTGCGGCGACTTTGGCTTTATTTAGTCTGTCCTTCACGTGGGGAATAATGCCCGTCCGAGAAATGATGAGGCCGAGCAACCTGCCTTGTTTAGAGTACTCAATCTCTTCGTCGTCGATCATCAATGGGGCCGGTTTGAAATTGGCTATGGGTATGAACCTCAAATTTCGTTTTGTTTGTTTTTATTTTCCATTTATGTTCATACTCCGAGATCTCCTCTATTGCCCGAGCAGTGAGTCGCGCCATCCTTGCTGTGGACCTTCCTGGGCAGGTGACGATCTGTGTTACATCGTCGACATACATGACGTACTCACTGCCGACGATTGGGGGTGGCAGGTCAGCCGTGTCGAGTGTGTAAAGGGTTGGTGAGAGACAAGAGCCCTGAGGCACGCCGCTCGATAGTGAGAATCTTCTCCAAAATGTTCTTGCATCTTGATTTTGGCTCTGCGGTCCATAATGAAGTTACACAGCAGGCGCGTCAGATTTTCGGGTAGCCCCAGTTGTATGATCTTATACTGCAGCCCTGCGTGCCAAACTTTGTCAAACGCTTTGCTGACGTCCCTCAGTACTATATTGCACTGCAGGCTGCCAGTCATGGACTCTGCCACCCCCCCTCCCCCACCACCACACCAGAAGAAGCCGAGACAACCTTTTCGGCAGAGGGACTGTTCATTACTAAAATGAGAAGCAGAATGAATGACCGCAACATTGACTCCTTGTGCTTCCTTTAAAGTTATTTCAAACGTAAGAAAGACGAATTATTTCATTTTAAAGTGAACTTTTGTATTTTAGTTAATTCACAAGGAAGAACAAATTACAAGTTTCTTTTAACAATGAACACATTTCTGATTCCGAGAAGAGTTAATA